TTGATTACCAACTTGAACCTTCCTGGTCGTTGGAGAAATGAGATACCGCAACAGATTATTCTGGAGGCGAATTTTCTTCGTAGATCACTTCAGCGGTCATATTATGTGTGTGAAAATTCTCAGCTATCGGTATTTCATGAATAACAACGTATTCACGAATTACGGATAGTTTCAAAAATGCACACATTTTATTCATCTTTTAAAGTGATAATCGACGAAAATTTGTTTACCGAATACCTTCTTGATCTCTCTGAATTCGTTCCCCTAACTACGTCTAATCGCACTTTAATACATGCATCTAGGCTGGCATATTATTTGAGCTCTCTAAATCACACATTACTTCAAAAATTCGAATGTGTCTATCATAACTAAAGCATGTGAGTGTAAGTTGATGATAGGACGGAACTACATAGTTACAATCTACATGTTAGCAAACTCAACGCATGAATCTTATTTTACCTTAATTTTTATCCATCATTACTGTCGATGACATTACTTATATTCATGGTGAGTATGTTTCGAAACTTTTTGACTTTCTTGAATATAGTGCTAGACCTCTTTGTTCGCCTTAGGTGATTTAGGGACCGATATTGGCGATTTTTCCACAATGCTATAAGTATCCTTTACAGTTCGTAGACCCTATGGAAGACAGGTCTAAGTTAAATTGTTGCAAAAATCACACTACATTACCTGAAATCATATTATGCGATCGAGGGGGACCAAGTCCTTTTTCAACAAGTACAAATAGTTTCCTAGGGTACACAAAGATATACGATAAAAAGTTGTTTTTTCTAATAAACTCTTATTCTCTTTTATTTGGCTCCATTTCCTAAACGTAATCGCACCTTCTCAATATGCATGAACTATCTTAATCACTAAATTCATCAAATCGTGATAGGTTTACACGATAAATACAGCATGTAGGTGCAAACTTTTGAGTTTGCTTGATTCGCTAGCTTAGATTAATTGTAAAAATGCTACATTACTCTGATGATGTCTTTAAAATGAGAGACAAAAGCTGAAATCTTTCCTTTACATGTAGAATAGCATGTTTTCACCTCAACCGAATGCAATCGACAGCTGGCCAGGTAGAAGCTTCTGTCATATTCAAATTAGATTGACTTTGAAATCACATTATCACGCTCTTTTACTGGAGATGAAAGTTACCTCAACATTTTTGAAGTGTCAACTTTTAAGCCAGTTCAAATAAGGAGTTTTAATCAAGAATATAAATGACGTTTTCTGATGTAAAAGCAATTACATGTTTGTCACATCGCCATTCTGACTGTCAATAGGATATGGGAAAGTCCATAAAAGCCATATCTTCTCCGAAGCCGCATGATAATGCGCTGCCATTAGAAGGAAATAACTTGATTTCGAATCAATTTATTGGCGGATGATGAAACTTAGGCGTGGTTCAAATTGCAGTCCAACTCGGATAATCCAATTTTGTGGGAGTCAAACCTTACCCATTTGATTTTGTGAAATTTAACTATCAGTGTGCTCATCACCTCAGGCAAACCTCGTATTCCTCGGAACCTAATTCAAAATGTGCTGATGTTCTCGAAATCTCGGAAGCTTTTTAGATACCGAGCTGAATGAATTTATTAATAAAATAAAGTAAAAAAATGGAAAAGTAATAAGCAAGTACTTCTAGCGCGTCCTATAGCTATGCACAAGTCCTATGAGCTCGTTTTTGGACCCAAAAGTTAAGCTTGGTTATTGTGATTATTATTAGCACTAATATTATTTGAGCTTTTCTATTAGTATTCTTCGAATCGAACGGAAACTCTGTTCTCTATTAAGCCCCAAGTTTATGCCACTTTGAATGCACCCGAAACAGTGAATTATCAATGATCATTTCCAGGGCTATCGGTAATAATAAAATAATATTAATAAGTTTAATACTTATAACTATAGATTTCTTCTTTGATTTTAGTACCAAATTGCAGTTTGCCCCATTTAAAGTACCACTATGAATTTGATTGAAGAAAGGCATAGAGGTTATGTATCGACACTTGACGCACTTGACCCGATTTCGAATCCCGTCGGAGGTCGTAATTCAACTCGGGCGATGCCAAATTTGCAGTTCAGTATTAATAATAAGTAAAAATCATTAATGTCATGAGTCCAAATCATTTTGTTGTGGACAAATTCACAGGCACAGGCCAAATGTAATTTGGAGGATTACATTAACATCTTTTTAATGAGCCTGAGAAATACTGTTTCCAACTAAAGCTTGGTTAGCCTCTTAGAAGAGCACTTCCTGATGACAACAATTCCGCGCGAAAGAGAAACTTTGCTTTGTTTTCAAACTATTGCCTAGAGGGCCAACAAGGCAAAGAGCAAAAAGACGACCGTGTCTTGGCAACCAGTTCGCATCAGTCAATGACAGAGCCCCAAAGCTGTGAGTACCCCTTAAACCTACCAATTTCTCCAAATAAATTGTCCTACAAACGTTCCTTTTCGCCCGAATTGCCGGTATGCACTTCATTTGTTTCCAATATTTTTGCAAATACACCACCTTTCAAACCAGGTCATATGGAGACATTTCGTGTATTTCCTGTGTCAAGTTCTGCGTTCGGTTAATGGCCTTGCCTACAGACACCAACCAGGCTGCAGCCTCGTTTACAGGTTCAACATGCTGTTTTCTCGTCTTTCTGCGAGGGGCAGATAAGTCGGAGTGCGTGACGTCGGCAGCATGACATGAAACAGTCGAGCCATTTGCTGAGAAAGTATCCACTAAACCCCCGGGCAGAAGGTGTATGGAATAGCTTCGGCTCACATGCCAGGAAGTGTGGCCACCTGTGCGGTTATGCCCCGGTATGTGTGTTCGAAACATCTCTCCCTCTGTCGCTATCTCCTTGTTTCTGCGACTCGTGCACATTCACAAGCGTGAAAACAGACCGTATCGTGTACATACACACATGCATAATCCACCCTGTCCTGTTCATCCAGGATCTCACATCCTCGTTGTCGTCCACTTAACGACTCAGCCGTGCAGTGTCTAGGAGAGCGAAATTGGGACTCAGCAACACCCACTCGCTCCTACCCCCTTCCTCCCCCGCCAAGTATTGCCGGGGCAACTACACTTGCATCAGCATCATTGGCTTGCGTGCCACCGAAGGATTCGCTCGGTAGCCCGATTGTTTGGGTAGGGCAAGCGGAAGCCCGATTAAGGCCGCCAACTTGTTTGCCCAACTTGAGCGAGAACGGAAGCCTTTAGGCTAATCACTAGGCCACTAAGGGCGCTAGGAGGACGGTCGGGTGGAGACATGGGCAAGCCCCTCTGCCTCATGTTCCGCAACGATAACTGGCGATCGCAAAGATTTACGACTGATGGCCTATCAGGGCCTATCGAGTCGCCCTATTCACTGAAACAAAAGAGGGTGATGAAGAGACCGTCTGACAAAAGACCCAATGCACTAATAATAATTATATGTGAAAATCCGAAAATAAACTCGTTAGTGTGCCCTAAAATGTTTATGCTCCGCAAAATCGCAAAAATACATTATAATCGTTTCCCTATTAAGAGTTCCAGACACCCCAGGTTGATATGCAGAAAAACTGGGTCCCGAAGATTCCCTTGCTAGATTAATGTTGGACTATGAGTTGTATTCACCATATTTCGTTTTATGTGATGAAGGACTAGCGGTAGAATTTTCCCACAATGATATGAGTAGAGTTGATGTTTCCATTGAATTGCATATAGCCTTGCTTTCCCACAATTTGTTTTCATCCAGGGTGGACTGCAGTTTCGAACTCGCATCGGTCTTATCAACACCACCAGCCGGAGTCGAACCGTGAAAATGCATAATGGGACCTTAACACACTAACCATTTGGCCACATTGCCACGAGTGCCATTGGATCGGTGGGCAGATGTCAATTTGAAGGAAGGCCAGACCTTTTTCCATATCACATTCTTTGGTGGGATTGTCGATGAAGCAAACGTATATTTGCTATAACAATCGACCATGTTACTTATTTTTCGTATTTAAGTAGAGTTTCGAGACTACGAGTAGATCAGTAATATGAGATGTATTCACCCTATTTCGCTTAAAGTGATGAAGGACTGATGGTAGAATTTTCCCACAATGATATGAATAGAGCCTTGCTGACTTTTACATTCAATTTTACATAGCCTTGTTTTCCCAAAAGTTGTTTTCATCCCATATCACATTCCTTCATCACCTTGAACGAAATAGGGTGAATAGATCTTATATTAATGATTTAATTGTAGTCTCGAAACTCTACTTACATACGAAAAATAAGTAATGTGGTCGATTGTCATAGCAGCTGTACGTTTGCTTCATCGACAATCTCACATTCTGTACTGTCACGGTTCGACCCCCGCTCGGAGTGTCGATAAGACCTATGAGAAGTCGAGACTGCAGTCCACGCTGGAGGAGAACAACTTTTGGGAAAGCAAGGTTTTGTGAAATTCAATGGAAACGTCAGGTCTACTCATATCATTGTGGGAACTTTAACGGAACAGGATGAGTACATCTCATATAAAGTGGACAAATTTGGACTATAAATATTTGGTAGGTTTGAAGCCATCCTTGTTGGGATCACTTCCATTTCAAGTAGAATTGTTGGGTGAAGATATTCGAAGGTTGGTTCCACCAGAAGACGACGGCGAATTCCTCTTGACCAGCTGCCGATTGGCTTTACTGG